TTTCAACTTATTTTATTTAGACGAATCCTTATATATTTGTGTCTTCAAATACATTTTAAATTCTCCTTAAGCATATGAACACGTAGAATTATGTATACTATAATTAAATAATAATAATAATAATATAATAATTACTACTATTGGACTACCAATTTTGTTTTTCAGTGATGAACGAGTCTCAGCACCCGACGAATTTGTAGAAAATTCCAGCGGATGCTCTATTCGAGATATTTTCATGTGGAATTAGCCACAGGGGATCTCCGTAGTCCATGTCTGAAGCGCGAAAATTCTTCTCATTTCACGGGAAGTTTGATGGCTAAAGCCGTCGTCGTTCCAGACATAACTTCATCGTTATTACCTCACATGCCTCAGCTGCCCGTCACACTGCAAGTATTCTTGCGCCAGCGTCTCTCACGCTCCTCATTGACGTGGAATTTAGTCCTACGTCAGTTATTTTCCACGAGTCTGTCGTCCACTAATATACGGTCAATAACTAACGTGTAAATAGTCTATATCTACAGTCGCATACGAAGTTCAGTGTATGAGAAAGTTCTCTAGGACAAATACGCTTGTAAAAAACCATAGGTATGATTTGTTCTTACGCACAACACTTGATGCATAATTCAGGAATTCATAATTCAACAACCATTCATTTGTACCAGATAAATTAGTTCTTATTGACAATCCTTGCATTTCATGTCTAATTTACATCCAACCAGGAACAGTTGCAGTTGAGAAACAGTCGCCACGAGCATTTAAAGGGTTACATATCTGCAAGTGATGTCATCAGGCAGACTGCTGTAGTGAGCACAGCTGTGCTTCTCTGTTCACTGTAACTTCTCATCTGCAGTGCGCGAGTTTCCAGCTAAACTCTTCGTGTGGGGTCTCGGCTGGATGGTTCGCTGTCAAGTAAAACAGATATAATTAATGATGGTAGTTGCCAAAAAATTAGCATATTAATTCGGTCCATTTAATTAGACGTTGAGTTATATAATGAAGTAATTTTCCGTCCGAGCTGGGAATGTATATACTGATTTACATTACGACTCTTTTCGGTATAATTTCACAGTATTACAACTACAACGTAAGATGTTAAAACAATATTTAAATTTCTTTATTGTGAATGCATCAAATTCAAATGGCCAATTCAATGTTGTTTGCACAAATAACCGCACGCCAAATGATTAGTCTGCACCGAACGAAAATTAAAGAGACGTTGTGACCGAACAATTTAGAGGTTTTTCACCGTTTAGGGGACACTGTGGCGCGGATAAAGCGGAGACGCGAGCTGTGCGTGAAGCAAGTCGACGATTTCAGTGCTCGACAGAGGACTTCTGGCAGTGTTCAAGGGAGGTTGTGTTGCGTTGTGTGATGTGAACTCCAAAGTAAACATTTATTTAGATTTACGTTAGAAATTACGATTTGTAGAATGATTATGACTTACTTGCTGAAGATTTTTGAAGCTGCCTAACTGTGCTTGTGTATTTTACCACAAATATTTTTGAAGCTACTGTGTTTCCTCAAGAATCGGTGTTGGTGTGTCAGCGCGTTGATGGAAACAAAACCTGTGATTTCCAGCTACAGAAAATATCATCTGAGATATTATGCTTCAATAATGTTGAGTTCTCAATTAAATCTCGTATATTGTGTGTACCGTTAGGCCGTTCTACTCCGGTACTTGCCATTTACTAGCTTGTTTAGTGTTTAAGCTGCGTGTTTCACGAGGCACTACGCTTAAATAGAAGTGACGAGTTCGAATTAATGCCATCATTGTCAAACGTGAACGAAAATTTTGTTAATTTTTGTGAGCAATACAGTGTTATGCGGGACCGTGAAGACAGTGAGGAGAATAACATGGCTCTGTACATGCGTGCTGAACAAGACAGACCTCTGCCTAAAGTTTGGCAGCCATGGTATAATATGGATGCTGGTGAGTGCATATTTTTTGTTATTTCTGAATGTTTAATTTTAAACCCCATTGCTAATTTTTATGGTCCTCACTTTATAGCTAACTCATAACTGAAGTAACTTTTTTTATTATTTTTAATTTTGTAACTTATTAATTAGCTAATCATGGATGTCAAATGTGATTTGTGGAGAAACAGGAGAATTATTTTATGGTTGACATAATAAAATTGTACTAAAAACTTCATAAATTAGTTCATATTTGATTTTCAATCTCAGGCTAGGCTGTTGAATCAAATGATATTAGTCCAGGCTAGCCGTAGGTATGATTTTTATTTTTTAAGCATTTTTCATTGTTTCCTGATATAGAAGTTAATTTATTGAAGGAAATGTTTCCTGATAGAGAACATGAAAATTGTTTCTGTTACTATGACATTGACTCTCCAATTTTTCATTTACCTAAATCAGAGGCAACATAATGAATAGAGTATAATGAAAGAATTTTTGTTCCAAGAGTAAGAAGCCACAAAATGTTTTTTTTATCTTATTTTCATCAAAATCAATTCTCAGATAAATCTGGCATTTCAGATATTTTGTTAATAAAACAAATCACAGTTGATGTTGCATACAGTGTTGTGGGGACTGTATGCAATAGCTCGCATCATAACTACAGTGTAACCTGCAGTTGATGTTGCATACAGTGTTGTACGCAGTGTATACAATACCTCGCATCATAATTACAGTGTAACATGCTGTAGATGTTGCATACAGTGTTGTGCGCACTGTATGCAATACCTCGCATCATAACTACAGTGTAACCTGCAGTTGATGTTGCATACAGTGTCGCATCACAACTACCGTGCAGAGGTGGGCAGTAGCGCGCTACATGTAGCGGCCGCTACATTTTCAGTAGCGGCAGCTACATTTTCAGTAGCGGCAGCGGTAGCGACGCTACATTTAAGCAATTGTAGCGGTAGCGCTCGCTACTTATAGTGCATGTAGCGGGAGCGGTAGCGGCCGCTACATTTCAAAGTAGCGCTGCCCAGCTCTGCTACCGTGTTACTTACGTGTTGCTTCAATTACATGCAGTGCCATATTGCGGTCACGTCATCGTGCCAGTCATCAGTTTTGAATTATCAACTAAAAAATTTCGTTTAAATATTCCACTCGAAAGTGGTTCCGAATTTTAGACTCTATAGAATCCGTTTAGCATTGCCGACTGGAGAGCATTTGTTGAAAATTTTTTGTTCACAAATAATCGGGGAAGCTCCGTCTACTGAGAAAAAAATTTGAGTATGCCATTGTGCTATTATAACCTCTCGAACATTCATAGACTTTCATATGCAATATGAGTGCAACGATTTTGAGCTAACATTGCATCAAATTAGAGGCCATATGTTCAGTCACGAATATTCTCGTTATGAACAAAGAAGACCGCTAGAGCAGCTGAAAAATTTCAGTAATTATTGTTCAGCTGTGCGTTATCTTTTCATCAGGCTAATTCTCAGCGGTGAGTCAATCGCCCTCATTTTGCTGACAGTTTAATTAGCTCTCCCGGGAAATATATTTCTGACTATTTCTGAACTTTCACTAAAAGTGTTTTTTTTTTAACTAAGACAACGACGCTGAAACCTTGCCTTTTCCTTGCTTATTAATATTGAATCAAATTTGAATCTGGAATAATGTATTTCTTTTCATTGCAAACCGATGTGTAAAATTTGAAATTTCGAACCAAACCGCGTTTATTTAAGTGCACTGCAGCAGGGTTTTTATAATATTAAAAAAGTCCTAATGCTTAAAAGACTGTGTTTTCAAGTTGTAAGAGATCGAGCTAGTTCATTTTATATACGTTAATTAACGGAAGCCTTTTTAGTATTATATACATAAAGAGACGACGTTTGAATTCCATGCACATGCACACAGTTGCCCAGATTTCATCATTCGCTTTTCACAATTTACTGTCCTGACATCGCCGCCGTGTTGCTGCGTCCAATCCTCTTGCATCACTGTTATTTCCTTTGTCTTACTTCAGTGTTCTCATTTAGTCTCAAGTGCAAGCTGTATCAGTGACGTCTACGATCTTCTACTTGATCTCATTCAATTTGGTACTATTTGGTTATTGAACTGAAATGTCTCGTGAACGTCAGCGTAGTAGAAAGAGTTAGAGAATAGTCGAGTTCCGTTACCGTTAGAGAATAGCTGAATTGAGTGATAATCTATGGAGATTGTGTGCGAATACCATGGTCGTTTTCGACATGACAGAAAGTGCTACAATTGCTCATGCTATTCCTAAATTCACTTGACATTTATTCCTTGATATTATTTATTTGTTGATGCCTCTAAGTGTTGAGTTTTACAATGAAACTGCCGTATCGTGTACTTGAAATTTACGCTATGAACTGGTTAAAATTTTCTCTTAAAGTACACATAATGTTTTTGTTATCCGCATTACTTCAGCCTAATCGGCTGTGATAACTAACAATCCATTAACGTTTTGATAGTTTTTTATGTTAAATTTATCTAATGGATGACCATCCTATATGTATGAAACTACTTTATGGAAAGTCTCGCTTCATTTTGGAATCTTCGTATAGCGATATTGTGATAAAATTTGTGACCTTAACGCTTGCTTGCCATTTTCATATGACATGCGATTACAGTGTGTGTCGCCAACGCTGTAAGAGATACCGCAGTGCGTATTAACTACAACAGGTCAGTGATAGTAATGATTATAATGCGTGTCGCCAACGCTGTAAGAGATACCGCAGTGCGTATTAACTACAACAGGTCAGTGATAGTAATGATTATAATGCGTGTCGCCAACGCTGTAAGAGATACCGCAGTGCGTATTAACTACAACAGGTCAGTGATANCTGACGTCCTCTCTCTGTGCCACCCGCGCTTATTACTGGCCTCACAACCGTGCTCTTATAATTCTTTCTTAAGCTTAATGTTGAGTGCATCCTTGGTATAGGCATTAATAAATAAAGGTTGTCTTGCGTAGCATAAATTTTCATTTTGTGTCTCATGGATGATGTACTGTTGGTATGGTTGGTGATGGTCGATGTATTAATGAATTAAGGTTTTCTTGCGTAGACGCCATGCTCTCCCCAGACACCACAACCCCAACCGCAGGTCAGCACTGAACATAACTACAGTGTAACCTGATGTAGATGTTGCATACAGTGTTGTACGCACTGTATCTTGGTATTTGTTTCGGACGTAGCAGTCCCAGGCCACAATGGATCGCCGCCTCTGATTATGTGTACCTCGCACTGTATGCAATACCTGGCATCATAACTAGCCTGTAACCTGCTGTAGATGTTGCATACAGTGTTGTATGCACTGTACGCAATACCTCGCATCATAACTACAGTGTAACCTGCAGTAGATGTTGCATACAGTGTCGCATCATAACTACCGAGCAAAGGTGGGCAGTAGCGCGCTACAGGTAGCGGCCGCTACTAGCGGCGGCTACATTTTTAGTAGCGGCAGCGGTAGCGACGCTACATTTAAGCAATTGTAGCGGTAGCGGTAGCGCCCGCTACTTTTAGCGCATGTAGCGGGAGCGGTAGCGGCCGCTACATTTAGTGCATGTATAGCGGGAGCGGTAGCGGCCGCTACATTTCAAAGTAGCGCTGCCCAGCTCTGCTACCGTGTTACTTACGTATTGCTTCAATTACATGCAGTGCCATATTGCGGTCACGTCATCGTGCCAGTCATCAGTTTTGAATTATCAACTAGAAAATTTCGTTTAAATATTCCACTCGAAAGTGGTTCCGAATTTTAGACTCTATAGAATCCGTTTAGCATTGCCGACTGGAGAGCATTTGTTGAAAATTTTTTGTTCACAAATAATCGGGGAAGCTCCGTCTACTGAGAAAAAATTGGAGTATGCCATTGTGCTATTATAACCTCTGGAACATTCATAGACTTTCGTATGCAATATGAGTGCAACGATTTTGAGCTAACATTGCATCAAATTCGAGGCCATATGTTCAGTCACGAATATTCTCGTTATGAACAAAGNTGTGTGTTAACCGTGCTCTTATAATTCTTTGTTAAACTTAATGTTGAGTGCATCCGTGTGTGTTAACCGTGCTCTTATAATTCTTTGTTAAACTTAATGTTGAGTGCATCCATGTGTGTTAACCGTGCTCTTATAATTCTTTGTTAAATTTAATGTTGAGTGCATCCATGTGTGTTAACCGTGCTCTTATAATTCTTTGTTAAACTTAATGTTGAGTGCATCCGTGTGTGTTAACCGTGCTCTTATAATTCTTTGTTAAACTTAATGTTGAGTGCATCCATGTGTGTTAACCGTGCTCTTATAATTCTTTGTTAAATTTAATGTTGAGTGCATCCATGTGTGTTAACCGTGCTCTTATAATTCTTTGTTAAACTTAATGTTGAGTGCATCCGTGTGTGTTAACCGTGCTCTTATAATTCTTTTTTAAATTTAATGTTGAGTGCATCCATGTGTGTTAACCGTGCTCTTATAATTATTTGTTAAATTTAATGTTGAGTGCATCCATGTGTGTTAACCGTGCTCTTATAATTATTTGTTAAACTTAATGTTGAGTGCATCCGTGTGTGTTAACCGTGCTCTTATAATTCTTTGTTAAACTTAATGTTGAGTGCATCCATGTGTGATGTGTGGTACAGGCGTGAATAAGTTTTCTTACATAGCATAATTTTTCATTTTGTTTCTCATGGATGATGTACTGTTGGAATGGTTGGTGATGGTCGATGTATTAATGAATTAAGGTTTTCTTGCGTAGCATAAATTTTATTTTTGTTTCTCACGGGTTATGTATTGTTGGTATGGCTGATGATGGTTAATGTATATCAATGGTGTGGTTATTTATATACGTGAACGACTATTATTTTTCGAACTGATCACTGCAGCCCAGAATGTTTCTACGTTGATTAATTTCCACTTAATTTACAGAATTATGTCAAGAACGTTCGAGAAGCTCCCATATTGTTCCCAGTTCCATTATTTCTCGTTCCATTACTCCTAAATTATATGAGAATCTGTTGCTGCATTCAAAATCAATTTGACGTTGATGTGACTTTCCTAAGGACCTGATAGACTTCGTTTAGTATTCCCCTGATTTGTTTTCTTGATTGATATTCTCTTGTATAAAACTTGATTGTTTGAAGCAAATTCTACGATGCGTGACAATCTCTGGCATTGTATATTCTATTACACGTTTGCTGAACGGTGCACGTGAAGCCTGAGCCTGGTTTTTGTGTCATAGGTACAGTGATTAGTCTATATGTGTCACTGGGCTTCTCGTTCGATGTGAAGGCTAATAACAGGCTACTATTTCAGTCCAATTGATAATTACTGTCAGAGTTTGGATGGGCGATCGTCGGTAGGGAACGCTATTCCTTAATTTACACCGTTTGCAGAAACAAATATCAATAGTGGGCTCACTTTCGTACACAAAACATTTAGCTGCAAGTTTCGAAGCTATCAGTGCCAGGTGTAGCAACACACGACATTAATCAGGGTGCACATCAGCCATGGCTACGGCGTTAGTTACATATGTAACTAGCCGTAGTTACTGCATCAGTTATATATTCCTGCGTGGCTAGCTGTGGAAAAAAAATGTTCGGGGGCCATACTTTTAAAACTCGCTAAGTGAACGTAAGTACTTACGCTCTATTTTCTTGTCTATGATTGGTGGATTTGGCTTGAAAGGCTGTCAATGATTGGCTGATGAACTTACGATCTCTTAACTTTTTTTGAAAGTATAGGCCCGGCTACACACCAGTTGAGCCATTGGCCGTAGTAAATTGTTAGCGTTACACTATTGCATGCAGTGACCGACTCATTCAGTTAAATTAGTCTAGGGTTACTCCTGCGTTATCATTTCAAGCCATAATCCGACAATAGCTGAGCTAGCTCTAGGCAATTACACGTTGGCCACACATTCTAATTCAATGTGCGGCTTCTGTTCAGCTATAAAATAGAAATTGTCGTGAGAATTCATGCCGTCGACATCGAAATGTTTGCTTTCTTGGGTATATTATTCATCATAATCGTTAAATATTCTGCTCATAATACAAGATTGAAGTGTAGCGTGCTGCGCTTCATCATGCAATTTCTACATCATGTATTGACTTCCATGTCTCAAGCCATGTTAAATGTTTTGGTGAAATGTGGTGCCTGTATTCCTTAATCACAAAATTCTCCTGAATAATTCTAATAGAGACGTTTTTTACGTCTTCCTGTACACGTTTGTTAATTATTCGCAGAGCTCTGGTACAAGTGGACTCTTATATCTGACACCCTGTGATGTTTCTTATGGCTTGTATTTCATATAAATGCTGCGTGATCATCTATACAGGTCCATCATTAATGAACGCAGCGCTATTCCTGTGATCTTGGAAGAACCCTGCTGAAATCTGGTTATTTTTCACTGCACCTACCGTGCTGGACTCTGATAATAATTCTATGCACGTTGTCTATGCGTGCTTCTTTCGTCGCAATGCATGAGTTTATGACATGAAGACGCTTCCAATTCCGTTTTCTGTCTCAATAAATAATCTAGAGGCCATTTCTCGTATTAACTTATGTACCTTGTCTATTGAGCGACGACACGTGTGTTGCTGTTAGAGACTGGGTATCGTGTCCAACCCTTTACTGCTCCAGCCTTAAGATTTTACCCGATATAGTATGCATGATAATATAGTAGATGAATTGTTTCAATTCTAATAATAAATGCGAAAATAGAGAAAAATTTGGCGAATTAAAATTTCAATAAATAACAATTGTTCGAGTACAAATTTTTCAATTTAACCTCGTATAACAAAGCTGCATGTAATCGATGCCTATTCAACGGGAGAGCTCCCATAAATCGTGACGATTCTGCTTCGCAGAGTTGCGTATAAAGTATATATGTCGCTGAGATTCATGATAACAAATGAGTCTACGAGCAAACTGCCATTCTAAATTTCAATATTATATGTATCTGTCAATGAACGTCTGTTTCTGCATGTGGATACGTAAAGCCTGGCATCCCATATATATTGAGCTGTTCGGGCGCATGTTCACGATAATTATCATGTCGAGTTGTGAAATTTTATTCACTGCGGTAGGATAATAAGGCAGTGCAAAACTGGTAAGGTTGGATCAAAACAGGATAAGTTGGATCAAAAATATGAATTTAATTTTGGAATTGCTGTGTATAACTTTAATCAAGAGATAAATAATCTTGTCTCGCATTTTGTGACTTAAGTCGAATGGGAGCTCTATGTTCCATGTTTTCGTTCACTTTTGATCACACAGTGACAGTTCATCGGGAATATGATGATCATAACACATGTCACTGCTAACACAGTGACAGTTGGGACAACTCGTTTGAGTTAAATTATCGTTATAAATGAAGTGGCGCTGTGCTGATAGATTTCTACGAACACGATGCAACAATTTCGTGTTTTTTCATCTAAATCGAGATTATGATATCACGAAGGCAAAATTTGCGTTTGGAAACATTTCTTATTCCCAGCCGCTTTCTGATCAATCATTGCAACCTCTTCTTTTCGCAAATTCTCCCTACGGGCATGGAAACAAATTGAGCGAGATGTTAGCACAAAGAAAATCAGGGCAGCTGATTAAATGATCGAATTCTTCGGTCATTTGCCTACCTGTCTGTGTACGTAAAGTCAACAAGATTCACACAGAAAGAAAAGTGCCGCAACTGAACTGAAATTTCTAGTGAGTTTTGCTGGTCTATGTTTGAAGTTCTCATGGATTCCATCGCCACGCATGACTCCCTTAATTTGGCCTCAAGCTTCAGCCTCGTACGAAGCCGCGATTCCACACATTTTCTTGCGACTGCCGCTATATAGGTTTATATATTTCCTGGCTCAGGTGGTTGCTTTGTAATTATGCTAATTTTATTCTCTTGTGATCTGCATATTGCAGGGTGTGGTATGCGTGTGTTGCAGAGCTCCCATGCTCCTTACATATGTCCGTTGCAGAGCTCCCATGCTCCATACATAATGTCCTAAGAGTTCGCATACCTTTAGCAAGAAGTCTTGGGTTTTATAATATAGCAGCTCGTAGATACGCTTATGATTTATTCATACATTTATTTGTATTTTTATTTTCAATCTGCTTGTGTTGCTCGTGGTTTTCTTCGAGTTGTGATGAAGAGCACCCGAATGTCGTTCATCTTAGAGACATTTATTTGTGCTAATTCAACAAGTTTAGAATGAAAATATAAACTTCCGTTTCTAATGTCTGTAACTTATTTTTGCATGTGCTTAAACTCCATTTGTTCCCGAAATGAGTGAAACACTTATAAGTAAGATATGTTCTATAAGACTTATCAGAGTTGATTTCATCGACGACTTGTTAGAAAGTACACTTTTTATTGTATTATGAACACTTGTAATGGATTTAATCATTATTTGTCTTACCGACTCTTACTCGGCTGTTATTTCAAGTCTTATTTTTAGTGTTGATTTTTTAATAGATCTAATTTATACTATTTGTCTTACGCGGCTGTTATTTCAATTCTTTTTTTTTGTGTTGATGCTGTGTAAATAACAGTTGAAGCGCTAGCGTGCGTAGCGCTCGAGCTGCTACGTTCCTCACAAGTCTGAGAGATTACTTCGTTCGTGGAATTCCAGCGCCTCCATTCTTACGTGGGACAAAATTCTCGAGCATCCTAGGATCGCTGACATCCGCTGCGATTAAGAAATACTTCGTCCCAGGGACTTCAGAAAAATTCGGACCGAGACTAGAGCTCTGGCAGTCGAACGGCATGCGCTCTCCAGGAGAATGTCCACTTGGCTCAGATCAATCAACCATTTCCGATTAGATCCACTCAAGCTGAAAGGCTTGTTAGGAAATTTTAGATCCTTTCACACAGAAATTTTGGCCACGAAAAATACTTTTGATGATGCTTTTTTCGTATTAATTTCAGTGTAAATTCTGAACACGTTGAAGGAATAGGAATTTAATTAGCTGCGATACATCGGGATTTACCGCTAGACGCTGATAAATGTTGCGTGTAATTATCAATTATTATTCCATTCGAAAGCATGATAGTAAGCTCACGATATCAGTTTCTAGGAAATAGCTTTCAAACATCCATTATATATTTGTTATTAGCGCAGATAAGCCGGCAACTCGCGGAAAAGTGTTAAACCAGTAAAAATTTATTAATTGTATCTTGTTTATATACGTCACTGAAATCGAGCAAGCTGCCAACAAATTTTCAGTTGCATCTCTCGTTAAAATAAAGACAATACATTTGAAAAGTTGTAATTTTGTATATTTTTTTGTAATTTGTTGCCACAAGCGCAGCTTTGAAGCGGAAACTTCTTTCTTTTTCCTCTAATTCAGCGAGAATATATCGCGTTGCGTGATTTTTAAGAAATTTTAAAAGTTGCAATAATTTATGATATGTTACCAAGAATTACCGCACGTTGAGCTCACGTCATATCTGTCAATACTCTACATGTTTTCTGTCTCTCAGGAAAAGGTGCATGAATCCGTTTCCATGCAGGAAGCTTGAATTAATTTTTCTAGAGCTGCTTTTGTTCTAAGTTTTTTCACGAGGTGCAGAATTGCGGTAGGAAATGGCAGATCTCATTGTGTTGTTGTTGCCTAACTTTTTGTGCTCGCAACTCTTGCCATATTTTGTGTTTATGATACATTTTGTTGTTGTGCTGATCGATGATCGTTGATCTGATGTGCAGCCCAGATCGTGCGTACGGCGGGGACAGCGAGGAGGAGATTATTGTGGTCGACTCTTCCCCACCCTTCCCCAACACTGCCCCTCCCCACCTTCTGATGGGTGCTAGTCCTTCTCATTCCCCTCACCTCCCATGCCATTCCCCGTCCCTCGTACAGCCCATCTCGGCTCACTCCCCTTCCTTGATGCAACCTCACTTGGCTCACTCCCCTTCCCTGCTACAGCCTCCCCTCCCTGCCCACTCCCCCCTGCCCGGCCCTCCTCCCCACCTCTACACCATGAGCTACGCCTCCTTCCCCGCCGACGACGCCCCACTCGACATGAGCCTCAAGAGGCGCTGAGGTGGTGGTGGTGGTGGTGGGTCCTCATCCCCAGATCCTCATCCCCAGATCGCAGATATTACAGTCCTCATCACTACCCCGCTCCTGCATCACCGTCTCCCCCACCTCCCCCACATCATCCCCTTCTGACGGGTGCAAGGCCCACCATCGCTGAGGATGTCGCAGCAAGACTCCCGCCACCCCCGCCATCCTACAGCGTCGCTACCGCTCATCTCAGGGAGAAACGCCCCCCCATCACCGTCCCCGTCAACCCCTCCATCCCTACAAACAACAACAATAATATCTCCATGAGCAACCGGAACGGCGTTGCCAAAAGTGATGGCGGCCGCACCAGACAAGTCGTCGTACGCAGTGAGTATCTCTTGAAATATATTCTAATTTTGACGATGTCAGTAATACTGCCAAACACAACGGTCCTGGTAAGGGAATAATTTTTTTCCTCTTACAAAAACCTTATGACCTTATGATGAGTTATGGATGGTCTGGTTCGGATTTGAAATTACTCATCTTGGTCCATTCTATCCTTGTTTCGAGGCTCATATTATATACTAATTAGGATGCATTCTACCTTTGTTTCGAGGTTCATATCACTCATCCTAGATCATTCTACCTTTGTCACTAGGCGTCTTCTCTACTAGCGACTTAATATATTACTTTTAAAGAGCCTTTGTTTGACATCATCTTAATTCAGTTTCTCAATCGCCTTCTGTGCTTGCTCAACTTGCATAAATTCTTACCTAATTGACTCCAGTTTAATAAGAAGAGCAAGCTAGCAACTCTGTAATGATTTCTCATCATCTTATATGTCCTTATGATGATAAGAGACTATTGGGGTGGATCGCTGCCTCGTAACTTACAAGTATTGCTTATTGACCTAGCCTGCGTCTATGGCTGCGCCATGCTACAATAGTTGGTTTGCTGCTCCCTGTACCTCTCTGCTCACACGGTGCCTCTTGCTGCTCCCGGTACCTCTCTGCTCACTCGGTGTCTCTTGCTGCTCCCTGTACCTCTCTGCTCACTCGGTGCCTCTTGCTGCTCCCTGTACCTCTCTGCTCACTCGGTGCCTCTTGCTGCTCCCTGTACCTCTCTGCTCACTCGGTGCCTCTTGCTGCTCCCGGTGCCTCTTCCATTTGCCTCTGCTTCTTTCTCTGATGATTTCTCCTGCATGTCTTTCTCTGGTGTATGTCCGGTGTCGCGGCTACTCTCCGACCGCGGTCTTGCGTGGTTCAGGTTACTGAGAGCTCGTTACTTCAACGAACTCCTCAGTGTCACACATTGTGCTATTTATTTCTATTCATATTTTTAAACAAGGATGTCATTTCATCTTTGGTTCTTTCTAGTTCCCTGATGCACAGTATAATACACGAGAAGTATTTTTTCGTGACTGTATATTCTGTGTGTTTCATATCGTTTGGGGAAGACTTTTCCTCAAGTGGTGTAACCTCATGCAGTGCCTCGTAAATGCCCATTAGTAATTCTTGATAAATGACCATGAGACGTGTTTGTTAGTGCGACCTTCGCAACTTTTCTCGCTATGAACTATGAAATGTTTTCTTTCCGGCACAAATTATGGATGACATCATTCAACTATTTCCGACCTCGTATTGGATATTCGATGCTTCGCTACTCTGAACACCTCCTATATGCACTTAGTTCATGAATTGCTTCTGAGGCTTGGTATCAATGAATTTTTAGTTATTAAAGAATATTTAGGTATTAATGAATTTTTAAGTATTAATGAATTTTTAGGTATTAAAGAATTTTTAGGTATTAATGAATTTTTAGGTATTAAAGAATTTTTAGGTATTAATGAATTTTTAGGTATTAAAGAATTTTCAAGTTTTAAAGAATTTTTAGGTATTAATGAATTTTTAGGTATTAAAGAATTTTTAGGTATTAATGAATTTTTAGGTATTAAAGAATATTTANATGTTGCCCTAAATGAATTAGCAAGAATTACAGTCAACTTTTCTTGAACGGAACATAGTCTGAGCTCTGTCTCTTATACACATCTAGATGTGTATAAGAGACAGCTCTACTCCCACCATCTTCATTCTCTCTTCTTCCATTCTCTCTACTCCCGCCATCTTCATTCTCTCTTCTTCCATTCTCTCTACTCCCACCATCTTCATTCTCTTTCTTCCATTCTCTCTACTCCCACCATCTTCATTCTTTCTTCTTCCATTCTCTCTCCTCTCACCATCTTCATTCTCTCTTCTTCCATTCTCTCTACTCCCACCATCTTCATTCTCTCATCTTCCATTCTCTCTACTCCCACCATCTATATAGATTCATGCAGAACCTTGTTCTATATTAATCTTTTAGTATAGTATAGTATCTTCGGCATTGAAGAATTTCAATTTTCGTATCTTCGGCATGCTGATTCTTGCACTTTTCTTGACTAGACTGGCCTTCTGATAGAATCTTTTCAACGGAATCTTTTGTACGAATAAGATCTATATACCTTGCTGAATATGAATCTTTTGTTCGAGATCCTCACTCACTGGTAAATGGCTTACAAGGTAATAAAACATGCCTTTCGTTTTGAAATATTGCAAAATCTCTGCGAAAGTTTTGTTTCTGCCAAGTGCGTACATTAGATGTTCCGTATGCTATCGTTAATTTTAGTTATATATTTGCAGGCGCATATTTGGTGAATATCTAGTGAATATTTGTTCGAACCATGGATGTTTACTGATTAATATTGATATTGTGACCGTTTCGGAGGAGTAGAAGAACTTTAGTATTTCAATAATATTTTCATAAAGTTATAAGTCATAAGTTCACGTCATTCTAAAGGCATTTTTATCATGCCTCCGCCAGTATGAGACACAAAACTGTTATTTTTACGTAGCGTGAAGTTTCTGTGAGCGTTGTTTCCCTATTGAGTGTTGAGGCGAGAGACGTTCAGGCCAAGAGGAAAGAAGGTAAAGAGAGGGAGTGTTTAGATGAAGGAAGGTTCGGGGGAGGGACGAGTGGAAAGCGTTAAAAGGGAGGATATGAGGGAGGGAAGGGGGGAAGTCTGTGAATGGTCTCTCCAAAGCCGTGAAGGCGCTCCCCTCACCCCCTGCGCGGCCTGACACCCCTCCCTTCACCCCCTCCGCGGCCTGACACCCCTCCCCTCTCACCGGACCTCCCTCGCACTCTCATGCTTTATCTGTTCCCCGGGCATCATTTTTAGTCTATCTCTTACGAGTTGAATAATTATTTTCCAATTCGAGTATCGATTTAATTCCATCAAATCAAATACATTATACCACGCGATACAAAGTTGTACGTGTGCACGGTGAATTAAAACCACTTTCTCTCTCGCAAGGTAAGCTATTATCATTGCTACTGTGCGCGCGTCGAGTGCAATTGTTGTCCGCTTTACCGAGTGAGAAGCGAACGCGTCGCTGGAGTGTGCGCCGCGCATGGCTCCTTGTGCTGCGCATACGTGGCGTGTAGCTGACGCTCCTGTCACTGCCAGGTGGCTGACAGAAGTGATACTGTTACAGCCAGGTGGCTGACAGAAGTGATACTGTCACTGCCAGGTGGCTGACAGAAGTGATACTGTCAAGGCAAGGTGGCTGACAGAAGTGATGCTGTCACTGCCAGGTGGCTGACAGCCGTGATACTGTCACTGCCAGGTGGCTGACAGAAGTGATACTGTCACGGCAAGGTGGCTGACAGAAGTGATACTGTCAGTGCCAGGTGGCTGACAGAAGTGATACTGTCACTGCCAGGTGGCTGACAGAAGTGATGCTGTCACTGCCAGGTGGCTGACAGCCGTGATACTGTCGCTGCCAGGTGGCTGACAGCCGTGAGAGTCTGTCGTGTGGCTCACAGCCATGAGAGTCTGTCTTGTGGCTTACAGCATGAGAGTCTGTCGTGTGGCTTACAGCCATGAGAGTCTGTCGTGTGGCTTAAAGCCATGAGAGTCTGTCGTGTGGCTTACAGCCATGAGAGTCTGTCTTGTCTTGATACTTAAATGAATGAAGATAGTAGAATAAGTAGATTGAATGAAGATTGTATGCAGGAATATGAATGAAGATTCTATACAGGAATAAGGCTCGTGTGTAGGAGGGAGGCTTGCACTGATGGCTGAAGGCTTCAGACAAGGAACGTTTCGGCAGACGAGGCTGGAGGGGAGAGGGGGAGAGGGGGTTACGGGCGGCCAATATGAGCTGGCGCGCGGAGGGTACTGAGTGGGGTAGAGGGGGAGGGTACTGAGTGGGGTAGAGGGGGAGGGTACTGAGTGGGGTAGAGGGGGAGGGTACTGAGTGGGGTATAGGGAGGGTGCTGAGTGGGGTATAGGGAGGCTGCTGAGTGTGGTAGAGGTCCATTGTACCTCGTAATATACGAGTGTTATGTGGATGTCGGGAATCCGATTTAGAGTGCGACGGTAGCTTGTTCCCGTAATATGTTGGTAATTCCTACGAAAAGTATTCCAAGGAAGCAAGACGAGATATTCTGATCAACAAAATTCGACCGTGCGATGTACCCGCAATGCCAAAATCAGTACTCTTAATTTTGAGTCTCCGTTGTGAAGTTTTTGAGTTTGCTATTGCTGGAAATTATTTGCTGTGCAATATGTGTTGAATCGGTATTATATTCTTAATGAATGTGCGTTTGCTGTCACCTTCATGCTATCATGAATACTATCGTCGTAACCTGAATTATTCTCTGGAGAACAGAATGTATTTCGGTCTCGTACATTAACATACGGTATTATTTGTGCTGCTAGGCTTCTGAATCTGGACGTCGTGTTTAGGAGACTTCGTTCCACAGATGCAGGAGGGTAATACATACAAACACAGAGGCAGGAGGATAAATACATACAAACACAGAGGCAGGAGGATAAATACATACAAACACAGAAGCAGGAGGATAAATAGCTACGCTGGGTTACATTTTCATGTCCTGACCACACGAGACCTTCAACTGAAAGGGAGTTAACCTGCTAATCTAAAATACAGAGTTAGCTATTTAATAAAATCGCATTTATTAGGTATAAATTCAAAATTAATAAATTATGAACCAATAGAAAGAGATAGATAAATTTGAAGTTTTTAATTATTCAAACATGGAATTAAAATCCTCCCTATTGGCATTTTGACGTCCAAGCCCTTTTGAATCAGTCACTGCCTGAGCGTTAGGTAGGACGCATAGGAAATAAATATCTGGCTCTACACTTCTGGCCACCACGATCACCTGATCTCACCCCATGTGACTATTTCTTATGGGGTTACGTCAAGGAAGCTGTTTACGTACCGCCTCTACCAGCAACTCTGTTTACGTCCCGCCTCTACCAGTAAAGCAACTCTGTTTACGTCCCGCCTCTACCAGCAACTCTGTTTACGTTCCGCATC